AAATTACATTTCTGCCCTTTTTTGTTACAGAAATGGTTCACTAATTTGAGTAGAAGAATATTTATTATGGTGCCACTTCTTGACTTTTTCAAGGTAAGTTTGTGCTTTTCTAATCAAACTGTTTTATCCCAATGTTTTACATGGGATTCGTTGAATATTACTCACATACATCACTATACATCATGCAGACACTGCATTTAAATTAATATATTGTAATTCGCAATGGTATCAAAAGTTCAAGTTTTTTGATGTTAATGCGTCAATAATGCAAGCACATAAACCTTTGCTTCTCCTAAGGTTTCTCTTAAACAAAATTGGTTGATTATACACGTAATAATATCAATAAGTGTTTTTGAAATTATTTAAGGACCTACATAATGATTTTGGGGATAATAAATTAAACGCATATTGTGCATATATACCATCTTCCACACCATAAAACTTCTTCCATTCTATTTATTAATAATGTTTTTGGTAAATCAAGGTCCTTAGAACTAAACTACTTTAATATCTTATGATAATAATAAAGTCTGAGCGAATGCCTAGAGAAATATCTTCGCTAACTCAAGGTTAGACGTTGTTTTTTACCCTTCTCGTAAAGAATTGAAGATAATAAAGCCATAGAGGACATGAACTTCTTTTGCTTATCATTCATGTTTTAAAATATTTAAAGATTTTTGTAGAAATAGATTTTCAGATGAAAATTGTTTTGCGTGCTTTATCTTAGGAAAATCAAGATGATTACATAGATGGTATAGATAATTTTTAGTTATTTTAATTATTTACTTTTATGAGCACGTCACAAAAGTAGCTAATTTTGATTTGATTTTGATATTGTTGCATTTAAGTGTTCTTATATAATTTCTTAACATTACTTAGATACCAATTTTTTGGTTTACAAAACGCGCATTACCTAATTATTGAATAAGCTTTCGGATAGTTTTTCACCATCCGTCTAAAGGTTGCCTGTATTGGAACCAATGACATAAAGTGGAAAGCAAATTAGGATTTACACGGAAAAGTGTAACTGTTGTTTATGCTCACACATTTTTAACAGCAGTTTTGTAATAAATTTTCTTTTTTTAACCGATTACTCTACATACCGACCAGTCGTGCGTATCATATCAAAGTGGATTAAAATGTAGCGATTACCTACAGCAATTTTCGGAATTAAGTAACAAAAATTCCAGTTTTAGAATGGTTTTATTTTAACTAAAAATAAAAACTTACACACTTTGTGTGTACAAGATGGAATGCGTAATATTTAGTATATAGCTCACGTTGTTTTCTACGAAAATATGGCTTGAAACTTACACATAAAAGTAACAGTAATGAAAAATTTATACGTATCTATACCTACAGAGATGTAATTTATTTAAAGTTTATATATACAGTTTTTAACATTGTAGGTACTACTTCTTTTGTAGTATTTATGCGATGTTTTAAGCGGTTTATTACGTAATTGGAAAAATTGACCCAACCTTTCTCAAAATTAAACAACATCCAAACATGTTTCCAGAGCTTAAAATATGCTTTTTTGGATGGTTCAAATGGTATTTAATAAAATCCCTTTTGTAGAATCTTTTTTATTAAACTGACTATAGCAAAATTGATAAACTGTGATGGTTGACAGTAGCAATAATATATCAACAACAAAATAAAAATGGTTAATCATTAACATTAAGACGAACATACAACAGTTGGTATTAATTGATGGTTATAGAAAAAAATACGTAAAAAGTTGATCAATTCTCATAAGTATTTATGTATATATGCATTACGTAAGATACATAAATATTCAAACAAAAAATAGCCTACTGAAATGTGTCTATATACTTAAATACTATTGTAGCTATCTACCTATGGTCATACAAAGATAATGTAATTATTTTTGTCTGTTACCTATACGGTATGACCTTTTATCACTATATCTCTGTTCAAATAAAATATTTATGCTTTTTAAAATACCTCTCGTTATAGAATCACATCCTTGACTAATTATCTGTCAAAGTGTGAGGCGTACGTTTTGTTTCTGTTTAATAAAATTATAAATCGTATTTATTGCAAATATATATAACAATATAACCGCTAAATTTAATCGTTTCGTGATAACGTTGGAAGTAGAATGGTTTACTTCTCGGTATACCCACGGATGCCGGTTACTCTAAATGCTTAGTGACCGTGGGAAATCACGGAAATGATACAGAAGACGACTGAACTATCTCTTCCTCGACACAGACAGACAGTTAAGTTACCTTTCTAACTAACAAAGTCCATCGTGTCTGATGTCATCTCGATTCAAAATTGTAATAAGTGAATGCCATGGTGAACGAATTATATCGAGTGAATTTTGCAAACTTAACTGATGCTTACCGGTTTGACTAATAGCGAATCAGAAATGTTTGGTACCACAAAATTCCACTAATTTTTATTTCGACGACGAAAGAAACAGTGTGACTGAAAATGATGACAAATGGGATACGTTCT